CCTGGCCTCATTGCATCCCGCTCAGTACATCGGGACAGACGGCCGGGGCAGACATGACGCTGTAACCGGAATAAGTGATCACAGTCCGGTCTATACCCACTGCACAAGAGAAGTTTGGTACACGTCGTTTAAATGGAGGAAACTGGTTTGAGATTTGCACCAACTGCCAAGGGCGGAGGTATTCTCTTCTTGCTACCAATCTAAGTTACACCGCTTAGAGATAAAACCATAACTTAGATCAAGTCAACCTTGGCCTTTTTGAGTGTCTCTACTCACCAGGTTCACCAGACCGGGAGCCTCCGTTGTTCATTTAGATGCTGCGGGATCCATTGATTTATGCCAGGATGTTACATAGGTCTGACCTAGCACTTCCCACCAGCACATCCCAAAGGGCTGTCACAGCAGAGGCTGGGGCTGCTGTCGCCCTACTCCACATGTAGAGGAAAGCACAGCGAGGGCACAACTCTTGAGCTGTGCACAGCTCTCCCCAATCCCCATCCAGGGCTTTAGTCCCGGGCCCATGCTGCGAACTGTTGAGCAAGCCGGCTTTGTCTGAGGTTCAGGACCCCACTGGGGCTTCACGTCGCCCAGCTGAGCAGTGCTGCATCCCACAGCCAAACACCAGCTTGCTTGGCCTGGCTGGGGCTGTGCAGAGGGGTCCTGACTGCCACCTGGGCCTGGGCTGAGCCCTCATGCTGCCAGAGCAACTGAATTGGTGCAGCTCTGCGGGGGTCAAAGAGCTGGTGTTTCATCTGACCTTCTCCCAGGGCCAGGTAAACCAGCAGGCTCTGCATGATGCCCAGGCTCAACAGCCGGCTGTGCAGCAGGAGGCAAACCTGGGGCCCGCTTGCTGCATGCTCCTTGCAGAAGAGGTGGTCAGACATGGGTGGATCATGGGTCCTCTTGGGAGAGGGACAATCACGCTAGGGTGAGAGCAGAGCTGGCCCCTGACCCTGCTAATAGAGGAGGAGGCCGGCTTGACCCACAATCAACCTGGACAGCCCCAAGTTTACATCAGGGAGGGTAAGTGAGGGACAAGAAGGGGAGGGTGAGGTGCGGGGCTGTCCTGGGTAGCTGGTGGGCTCTGGGCCAGGCTATGGGGTGTTGCAAGCGGTGCTGTTTGCAGGTAGGGGAGTCCTTCCTTCTCCGGTGCTGGTGGGGATGGATTCAGTCCAGGACCCATTTCTGACCAGCTTGTTTTTGTGCAACCAGGAGCATTAGCCCCCGCCAGGAAACGGAGGTAGGGTCCCATGAGGTCAAGGAGAACCAGAATAACCTGCCCCTGTGTGTAGAGGCCAGCACCCAGGCAGATGGCCCTGGGCATGAACATGCCAGCACCCAGACCCAGGCCCTCTGCTGGGCGGAGATGAGGTGCCAGACTGAACCCCTGCCTGTGACAGACGCGAGCACCCAAACTAAGTCTTGCCGACATCAAAAACAACTAGGACAGGGAGAGAGGTATGGGGTTTTTGTACTGTTTGTTTGTGAGCCTGGGATCAGAGCGGGATGGGACCTGGGTGCTGATCAGGGCCCCTTCTGCCTCCAGGCAGGTCAGGATGACCCCTGATGTCCATCCCTCAGGGTGCCAGTGCCCTGAACCAAGCAGCTGTGCCCTGTGTCAGTCCCACATCTTCCCTGGGCCTCTGGATCCTGTGCTCAGGCAGCGTGGGGGCCACGTCTTGGGAGGGGATTGCCCCTGGGCTGTATGAAGCCAAAACTGGACGCAGTTCTCCAGCTGCGCCCTAACCAGGGCCACACAGAGGGGACATATCACCTCCCTAGACCTGTTTGTGATTCACCTGCTAATGCATGACAGAGGGTTGTTAGGTTTACTCTTCTCACTTTGTCGCACTGACGACTCAAGTTCATCTTGAAGTCGACTATGGCTCCAAGATCCCATTCTGCTGCTATGCTGCTTAGAAAGTCTTTTCCCAGTTTGTAAGTGTGACAATGACTCTTTCTCCCTAGATGCAGCACTTAGCACTTGACTTTATTAAACTGCATCCTCCTCTGTCCATGATCCATCTCTAACCAGTTACTCTTGTGCAATCAGGAGCAGATGTCCCTCCCAGAGGATGGACGCAGGGACCCAGGCCAGCCTGCCCCTCACCAAAGAGGCCAGCACTCAGGCAGAGGGCCCTCGCCATGCAGACACCTGCACCCAGACCGGGGCCCTCTGCCTGGCTGAGGTGGGGTGCCAGGCTGGCCCGGGGCCAACACTGGAGGCGAGCACCCAGACCAAGTGGCATCATGGGTGATGCTTTGATGCTTGTCCTAGTGCTAGCTTGTGAGCGTGGGATCTGTATGAGGAGCAGAGGGAGAGCTGGAGCCAAGACTCTGTCCCTGGTCCTGGGAAGGGTCTCGCAGGTTGGGAGAAGGACGGGTCGAGGGCCAGGACCCCTGGTTCCTTCCCAGCTCTGGAGGCCTCGGGAGGGAATAGGTTAGTAAAGGGGACATGACTTGTATGTCTTCAGTATGTCCCTTGACCACAACCCCCTCCAGCGCCCTGTGTGTCTAGGTGGGGCAGGGCTGGGGCAGGGGGTCCACAGACCTGGGCTCCCTGTGCTGGGCCCTCCCCATTGTGTATATCCAGACCGCACCCAGGAACCAGCCCTAGGCCCAGCAGCACAGGGGGAGGAAGGGAGATGGGTCCGGCAGGGCTCCCAGGGCTGGTTGCTGGGACAGAGGCAGTGGTGGAGAGAGGGGAGGCTGGGGCATGGGCTGGTGGAAGTGGCAGGGCCTGGGGGCATGGGGTGTCTGAGAGGTGACCATCGTCTCTGCCTCCCACCCCCAGCGCTGACACAGCGTCAGAGGGGAGGAGGCGAAGGTGGGGAGCAGTAAGAAGGTGAGTGTCCCCCCTGCACCCCAGCAGCCCCAGGCGTGAGGGGTGCCGTCCACCAGCCCACATGATGATCGGGTGCTGCCTGCCTCCAGGCTGCTCAGGATGACCCGTCCTGCCTCTCTTTCAGGGCCCTAGTGCCCCATATGGACTGGCTATCTCCTGTGTGTGCCCCTCATTGCCACCTCTGGGCCCAAGAACCCTGCTGCCAGGGCGGCACCCCGGGGTTTGGAGGTCAGAGCTTCTGGCCCTGGTCAGGCCTGCTGGGACAGACAGCCCCACTGAGCCATGTGTGAGAACCACGTACTGCTCCCGGCTGGGGAGACTCTCCTTTACCCCGTGGTTGTTCCTGGGTGTCAGTGGAGGGGCCAAGATCCACCCCGTCTCCCTCTCACTGGTTTCTTCTCACCTGGCCTGCACCCCACCCTGAGCATGCCCTGACTCTGCCCTTCTCCCACAGACTCGCCTGGACCATCCCATGCTGTTTTGCCCCCAGGAGATGAACAGCTGAACTCCTCCCCTCCCCACGCACCCCTGTCGTCTCCTCCCTCCATCCTCCCCTGCCTGATCCGGGATGGGCCCACAGGAAGCCAGTGTTGGTGATTCTGCCTCTCTGAGCATGTAAGTGGTTTCCCATTCCTTAGAGGTTTCCAAAGACCCTTCTTTTGTCTCCTTCACTTGGGTCTGTGTACTCTAACGGTGAGGCATCGTGACCTTAGGGCTTCTTAGGGCTGCAAGGAGCCCTGTCCCATGCATACACCCATAGGCCAGGCAGGCTGCAAGTACACCTGAGCCATAAGGCAAGGAGGATGCACAAGTGTGAACAGCAAAGCAAGGGGCATAGTATGAGCCACTGCTGCATTGCTCCAGTTTTACACCTTTTCAGCTTTCTGGATTTTAATGGAGTGGCCTTGGCCTAGATCTGGACCGTCAGGTCTGGACTGGACAATCCAGCCCACTGCCATCAGATTGATGGCACAATTTTCAAAAGGGCTTAAGTGGTTATGAGCTTGGTATGTCCTGCTTTGATCCTTCTGAGGGAAGCATTTCAATGCTCTTGTTGGAATGACTCTACATTCAGGATTTGTAGTGTAAATTTTCATTTTTGTCTTCATTTTAACCTTGTTTCCTTTCCCCCGCTCCCTTCAAATTCCTCTGGAGGCTGCTTAAAGCCATTTGGAAAGGGTCACACGTGTTTCTGGAAAAGCAGAAACTGTTTTCAATGGATTCACAGTGCACCCGTGTTACCTATGGCATTGCTGTGTGATGTATATCCCCCAAAGTGTCCAGCTGGGAACTACACATCCCCTGGGAAAATGTCCCTTGTCCTCAGAGCACAGATGTGAATAGGGGCCTGGGTGTTTTTGTAGATGTCTCCAGCTTTTATGAGAAAGGAAAATGCTCATGTCCACAGGTCATCAGTGAGAAAGCCCTGGGCAAGAAGATTTAACTAGTTTATATGCAAGCTGATCCCATGCCTTACCACTCCTCCGACCCCCAGCCCATCGCGTCCCCATTTGCTTGTAGCATTGAAAGTCCTAAGAAATCTTAATGTTGAGATTGCCCCCTCACTCTCATGTAACCTTGTAACAGGCCCCTGCCCACCACACCTCAGCACTGCAGCTTCAGTGACCTGGTTGCAATCAAGGCAGGCAGTGCCACACTGAACAGAGGAGCCCTGCTGATTGCCCCAAGGACCGGGTACAAGAGCTTAAGGGTGGGCCCAGAGACAGAGGCACACAGGGCTTTCACCAGGACACTTTAAACAGGCTTGGATGCTCTCCCAGCTTTCAGAAGATCAGGCTTTCTGCAAGGTCAGCACAGCTGGGGAAGCATTGGACACTCGTATTTTTCTGTAGCATCTGGGAAAAACCTGGACATTCAACTTGCCACGTGAAGGAATCCAGCAGGTTCCCCTGTAGCACAAGACAGGTGGGAAAGCATCGCACGCTCTCCTGACTGCTGCAGCACTGGGGACCCGGGCAGAGAAGAAAAGACAACGTCATCACACCAAGATGTCACCAGGGCTAATGCCAAGACCCGAGGAGAAAAGGGTGAGCTGCAGAGAAGGAGGAACCCCAGACAAGTCATGAATATGCTGTCATAGCTAGACCCTCAGGGAACCACTGACCACCACCTCCAGGCAAGTGAAGTTTCACCCAGTGGAAACAACAAAGGCGTGGCATGGCATGGCATGACCCAGAGGGGTGGGACTTGTCTGTGGCCCATCGGCCACTGCGTCTGGCATGAGCCTGTCACAAAACCCTTCCCCCACTGCAATAAAAGTCTCTTTGATCAGTTTGTCCTGTCTCCTTTCTGACACTAAGCCAAGCCCAGGACGATTGCAGTGAGGCCTGGTGTTGGCAGTGGGATGCTAGTCGAGAACCAGAGGGGTGAGGACGCTGCAGCACTGCAGCCTCCCCGTGCAGTTGGCCCAGGCACAGCAGGACGCCTGATCCAGCCCATCGCCCGACTTCCCACTGCGTCCAGAGCTGCCCTGTGTCCCAGCCCCAGCAATCACGCTGTCACGGTATGTCTTCCCGTAACCCTTTCCATAGGCCAGGGCTGTCTTTCTCTGTTGTCCCAGGGAGCCAGGTACAGCTTCTAAAAATACCCTTCATTTGTGTTTTTGCTGGTCTTTTCATTTTGAAAGGCTCACATACAGAACGGGCGACATTCAAGTAGGGCCGTGATGTGCATGTAAAAGGTGCATGTTATAGTTCCCTGCATACAGCATGGCCCACAATGTAATACACAGCTTGTTCTTGAAAGTGAGACTGAAGAGAAACAGATGCTGACTTGTAGTAGCTAACTGGGGAGCAGCAGCAAGGAGCCGGAGCCTGCTCGGTGCTCTGCACCCTGGAGATCACGTGAAGGTTTGACTTTTGCTTTGGCCCAGTAACTGGCACAAACTGCTCTTGCCCTGTGTCTTGCATGTAATGAACCATGGGATTTCCAGCTGCTCATTTTATTTGCAAAGAAGTGCGCATGTTTTTTATTTTGAAAAAGACAGTACTTCCTAGGCTGACATACTAACAAGGCCGTGATCCCAGAGGAGAGGATCTGCTGGGAGAGGGACTGTTGCCCAGTAGTATCATGGAGAGCCTGAATGAGCACAGCGGGGCTAAGCTGATCCTCTCTCAGTTTTGCTCTCTCCTAATATGCGCTTTGCTGCATCAGTCGTTTGAGGAAGTCCCAATTTAGTAGGGTGCTGCAACTGCCTTGCAGCTGCCGGCAGTTAGCCTTGCAGCTGCCATTCCCTCTCTGCAAACAGGCGGGCACTGATCCCTGGGCTGGGCTGGGGAGGGACACTGGCACACCATGGGAACTGTCTTCAAAGCTTACGTTTGAAAGGCTCTGGCTGGAGTGGGAGAGGAGCTGGTGTTATCTCTTTTGCTGAGTATCCTGCTCCACTTCTGGCCTGTCCAAGCACCAATCCCACAAGATCCTTTCCCAAAGCTTTGTGTGACGGGAAAAGTGTCTGTGTGCATGTCTGCTATACGCTGGCTACTAACAGTGGCTACCGGAAAGCAGCTGCCCAGAACTAGCCCGTCCAAGTGCCCTGTAGAGGCTCTCCATTGTCCTGATGTGGAAATTACAGGCGATTTCACTCATACAGGCTTTTTGTTTGCTTTCTTATTCTGTCTCGTAGGCAGTCTTCTCAAGGCATCCTCACAAGGATCACAACTGTGACATGATGGTGAGAGGCTTGTCTGCTGTCCTTGACATCAAGAGTGATGCCGTCTGTGGCCGTGGACTTCTGCTAGGGTTACACACGTTGGCAAAGTTGCGAGGAGGCTTGGCAGGCTAATAGTGCTCCAAAAATCCAGAGAAAAGTTCTTGATGGAGGAGCAAGCAATTGAAGCAGAATATTTCACCATGTTATGAGAAGACATGCATAGGCCTCTTGCTTCAATACAACTCCCACGTTGATAATGGATGGGGATGGGGCAGACATGTGTGATTACCAGAAGCCCCTGGTCACGGACCTTCCCCAGTCACAGACCGGCATGTACAGAGCCAAGGACTGGATGATGATGATTTGCACTTTGAACTGAGACTGGTGTGCAAAGGGGCAGCTGCAATTATGACCGAGCAGGCCTATTTCGATCAGCTCTGCTCATCCTGTGTGCAGGGGACACTAGAAAAGGCACCTTGAACAGCCTGTGTCATGTCACCTGCCTGAATCTGCCCAGGTCAAGTACTGAGGTCTGCAACCTGGACTGTCCGCACCCTGGTGCACGGCACTAACAGCGACCGACTGGTCTGAAGGACAGCACTTGTGTCCAGAGCTGCATGGATTTCTTTCCCTGAACAAGCGTGCAGAAAATGATCTACTCATCCCAAAGCAACTGAATGACACAGTGAAACGTGTGACAGGTACTTGCAGATACACTCATGTTCCTTGGCTGTCTCTTCTGTCTCATACCCCGTCTCCTCAAGTTCGAGATAAAGAGGCTACATTATCATGGACCCCACGTCTAAACGTCTTGCTTTTCTTTTACTAAGGCAGAGTTTGACTATGTTGAACAAGGTTCAGAGTGGACAACTACCTACTTCGCTACTGGAATTGTATTAAAGCGCCCGAGTGTGAGTGTGGCGAAATCCAGACTGTAGCACATATCACCGAGGACTGTCCTGTTTATCTTTGTAATGATTGCATTGAGGACCTGCACCAGGCTGCTGACGATGCCTCGCCATAGGTATCATACCTGATACGGTCACTCTCACCTTACCCCTTAGTGCTGTTGCTGATAGGATGCTTAGAGCTTGTTCTGTTATTCGGATGCTGTACTTCATACAAATAAATCACTAAGCAATAAATGGAAGCCATTGTGCAAAACCCCTGCTCAAAACCCTGGCTCCTAATTTACTGTATCCTAGTGCATTGCAAAGTCCACCTCAGCACAGCTACAACCAGCGCAGTGCAGGACACCAACAGCTACAACGGCCGTAGCAGAAGTGCTCACGTCGCTGTCCAGTGCTGCTGAATCCCTGTCCTCGACTGTCTCAGGCAGGACACGAGAAGAGGAGGAGAGGACGAGCAGTACAAAAGGCTGCTGGGTGGTTCCTCACTTGATAGATATGCTCCACCATGCCCGTCCGCACGGCCACAAACTGATGTCAGCAAAAGAAGCAACCAAAGAAGGGGTTCAATGTCAAGTGCTGGAGAAACACTGCTAAAAGACGTCATCTCCAGCACTTCTTCACTGACAAACACGCCAACTGCCCTGACGCTCTTGGCACCACTGATCACTCAGCAAAGAGCAAGAGCTTCAAGAAAGGCGTCCATGAGACGTGCTGAAAATCTCAAGGCTTCTCCAAAAAGAAACATCATGATTCGTTCAGTGAGAATGACAGCCTCCATATTACTCAACCATTCAAAACTGAGAGAACAACATGAACTTTAAATAGAAGTACCTGCATCAATGTGTTAGAAAAGGACTCCACTAAATAGGTGTGTAATCTATAACATGCCATAAAAAATGGGATAATTTATTATACCAGTGCTGCAAATCCTGATGAAATCTTCCCTGGGCTCACATAAGGG